GCAAGGACTGGACTGCAAATTGGTTCAGAAAGCCTGGAGCTTTATTGCTCAAGAGAACGTTAAAAGGAAAGTATGGCTCATTGGACACAAACTCTAATATAAAGGATGGATTTTTGCAAAAAAATGTTATCCAAAGTGTTAGCATAACCACTCCTTGATAACCAACCTGGGCAACGTCACCTGCAAAATACTGTAAATAAAGAAAAAGCGAAACAATTTCTACATAATGAGAAATAGAAATTCTGAAAATTTCTGCTTTTAAGTTCATCAACTTGGAAAACGAAGTCCATAACTTTTAAGGCTCAGAATTTAGTTATAACATATAAAACTTCCTCGTACAACTGTACAAGACATGATAAATAAGGCCTTTCTTTCTTTAAAAATGACTGTGGTATCTGGTACTCTTCTCACATTCCTCTACTGTCTTTACTATGGTAATGTACTCATGTAGATCAAACAGAGAGGAAGTGGGGACAACAATGCAGCCGAGACTCGTCCAAAAGCTGTTGACATAAATCACAGACATTCGTTCAGCTTTCGGTCACACTCTCCTGCTCTTCCTCATGCATGACAGAATGCAGCATCAGGACATTTTACAGTAAATGGAGACTGGTATGTGTGAGTGTGTTGGATGATATTGATTTACAGAAGAGGAGAAAGCAGAGGAGTTGAGCCTGAAGCGTACCATCTGTACAAAGCCAGACAAACAGAGCTGCCCACCTAAAATCAAACTGTGGTGACTGTGTGAGCTGGAAAAAGTCTTCTATGCTACACAAAATGACGTGGGATGTTTGTCTTGTTGTTTAAATTCTTTTGTTAAAGATATGACACATAGTGTGCACTAAAAATCTTATTTTTTAGAGCCCGACTATTTCGACACAGGAAGGTGAAGTTATCAAGTAACAACAACAAACTCGGCTAGTCTCCAGATCTGAAAGGTATGGGAGCTCATTTCCGCTCACTTGTTACACGAACTCAGTAAACACTTTTCTCAAGAGATTATGAGCTCAGTCACTGGTTGCATATCTTAGTTATTACAACATAGTGTTCATTTTGTAAATGATGGCCCCTGTTTTCCCCTCTGTGGTAAAGAAAACATGTCCTTGGCCCAAACAATCTTCAGAAGCCAAAGGTTAGACGTGTTTGGACCTCAGAAAGTTTATAATACACAACTTCAAGCTTCAATAAAATGTAAACAGTTGGGTTATAAAAACATTTAACACTCTGACCATTTGATATAAAGGAGAAATCAGCCATAGTGAGCTTTTTTTGTACCATGCTGTAAAAGATGTTTATTTCTGCTGTAAAACCAGGCATCACTTTCCAAAATAATATCCTCACTCTCAAGTTTAAGACTGCGTACAATGAATGAAGTGCAGACACATGCAGAGATGCACACATCAATATCGCTGACTTTCATCTGTCTAGATGTCTCAGGTATTGGAAGCTTGTGCCCCTTGCGTGCATGTGCTAATGCTTAGTAATTCAGATGCCAAATCTGTCTCAAGCGAGACACTCCGCTCCCCTTTCGGTCACAATGGTCAGGGCTTTTTGCAAGATAATTGCATCCTTGTCATCAAAAAACCCTCACCAGGAGCGATGAAAGAGCAGGACTGACGGCTGAGATTTTAGAGGCCTGACCTGCTCTTTCTGTAACGGTGGTTAAGCATGTGGGGGTCAGACTGCGCCTGCAGGTAACGGCTTTTTAGAGCACACTGTGTGGACAGGTCGAGTGAAATCAGGGTGATAAATGCTAAATTTTGGATAGCTTAAAATGGTTTAAATAGAAGGAAGGGACATTAACTCTTTGGATGTAATCCCTCTCAATGGGGAATTTAAGAGAAGGTCTACTTTTTCTCACAAAAGCCGTGTTAGGTGAAGCCTAAGGACTTTCTCTGGTATCTGAGTATAATACAGGGTAGCAGGTCGATGGAGTGGAATTTTCCTCAGCTTAAGTTGGGAAAAAACATGCCAGTAATTAAAATAATTTAAGCTGCATGATCATCCTCCAAGTGTGGCGATTCCATAATTTTTTGTGCCTTTGTTGTTGTTTACTTGGTGTTCCCTATGTTACTGTTTTCTTCAGTATCTTTTTGTATGAGGAATAAACAGAGTTTCTGTCTGAAGTCTCAGAATTACAGCGATGAAATGACCTTTAACGACAAACGTTTGACCTCCTCGTCCTCCTTGTTTGCAAGCTCCAGTAAATGATTCTACAAATTACCTCCGAGTCTTGTAAACTATTCCTCGTGCACTGAAGAAATCAAATCTGCACAGCACCACTCTGAGCACTACGATGAGTCAAATTATCTGTTGTAGGACTCCTTTGTCACGGTTTGGAGTTTCTGTTTAAATACTTCCTGTTTTATTTTGAAATCTCGTTCATACGCCTCAGTAAATTCTACTTCCAGCATTGTTTTGTTTCCTGTGTTTTGTACAGTCAGTATGATTGGTAGACACACCTCTCCATGTGTTTGTCTTGTCTTCTGTGTGTTTCGAAGTGATGTCTTTGTGCCTCTCTTTGACTTTTTGAGCTTTGCTTCCTTTGCTTTGGGTGTCTGTGCTGGTTTTCTATATATGCACGACCCCTGTCCAGGTTAAAGACCACATGCTGGATTTTTACTTTGCTTCCTGTACCTCACATTCAGGTCCTCTCATCCTTGCTGTTCCTTGGACTCAGTAATGTTGGCTTTGAGGTCATTTTCAAGCTGCAAGATGAAACTGGAAGCAATGAGAAGTCTCACTGTTGGTATTGCAATGAAATTCACAGTGCTACATGTTGTTATAGTTTTGATTAAATATCTTTCTCTAACGAGGTTTTTAAATTCTAAACTGCTGAATTAGAGACAGAAATCATTCTTTGAGCTTACACGTAAGGCTTGATGTGACTTCAATCTTAAACCGATTAATAGGCATTTTTCTTTGGATTTTACGCTTCCGAACATAAAAGCTTCTCCTGCTGCCAGAGGACAAGTGAGAGTGCGTTTCCACTAAGAGAAACTGAACTGTAAAATGGGTGGAAATGCAAATGAAATTCTGTTTACACTGCTGATATCTCAACTCCCATAGCAATTTTGATTTTATAAAGCAAATTTTGGAATAGATTTATCCGTGTAATTCTCCACTGATATGGCTTCTACGCCACGAATATTAACTATAAAAGAATCATTTGAGTGTGGGTGCTGTAGATAATGTCTTTTTTTCCACAGCTGCTGAAGCGTATTTGCATTTAAATTCAATTTTATTGCACATTACAAACATTTCTGTGTGTGTGAAGTCTCACTTTTAGTCACATTCTGTGTGATTTTTGGGGGATTTGACTCATTTCCTGAGATGATACGAGAGGATTAAAAAGAAAAAAAAAATCAATTGCTCTGGTTTCTCTCGAAGCTACAGTTGGTGGTGAGGTGCTGATACTTCGAGGTGCAGCACACTGATGTGGCTCAGCTGTGTACCGTCCAGGAAAGAACTTCATCCAGTAATAACAGATGATCAATGCTGCAGTTTTTACTCTGCAGAGACGTTTGAAGTGAGCCACTGAGCAGCAGGACAGCTTTAGATTAAAACCAGAGAGCCTTTAAAACATCTCTCTTTGAATCTAAAAGTATGTCAGTGGTGCTTTTTAATTATTACTTCCTGTTTAAATTTTGAAAGCAACCATGTCGTGCATCAAGTCGTGTGCTAAAGTTGGACGTAGAGATTGCAAACGTTAAAATAATAACTGGCTTTGTTTGTACAGCACCTCCCAGCAGCTCAGAGTGCTGTAACGTTTAAGAAACACACAGATTGTATAAAATCAGCAAATATGACTTAAAGTTAAAGAAATTTAGGGGGGGAAATAAATTAACACACAATAATATATAATAAAACATGTTTTAACTGCCATTAGCTGCACTCGAGCAAGAGAAAACATTGGATGGAAGTCAGTAATGTGGATATCTGGTGGAAAAGCAGCGCTTTGAGCAGCTGCTTAAAAGCTTTAACATGCAAGAAAAAATGCTTCAGTCTTACTATATAACAATAGTGCGCAGCTGTCACTGTCTACTATGGTATGTAATTACTATTGCACTATATTGCTGCTGCTGGCACCTTGTGGTGATAGAGTCACACTTTAAACGGAGAAGTGTGTCATCAGTTACATTGTTTGCACTGATAAATAACCTCCTGCAAGCTACAATCACCAACAAAACACTGTTGTTTTCTACATCATAATAAATATCATTATTGAAAATTTCCAGGGGTCCAGGTGGTGGGACAGCAGCCTACGTTGAGACCTGTCTTATCCCAGTCACGTCCTCCAAATCTTCAGAGGGCCTCACGTCTTAATGCTTGACTTCAGGTATTTTAAAGTCTTGTTGTCACAGGTGTGTAAAATCAGGCACCTAGCCATGGAGTCGGCCTTTACAAGCATTTGTGAAAAAATGTGCCGTTTTCTAAAGAGCTCAGTGAAGCGTGGTATTGTAATAGTGTCCCACTGTGGCATCGAGTCAGTTTGTGCAATTCCTTCTCTCAGATATTCCACGATCAACCGGAAGTGGCATCACTGCAGAGCGGAAGTGAAAGAAACTTCAACATCTCACCATGAAGTGCAGACCACGCAAAGTTACAGGGCGGAGTCACTGAGTGCTGAGAGGTGGAGTGCTCCGCTTCCCAGCCTCTGATGATGAACCCGACTGCTTCACTTGTGACCTCACTAAACTTTTTAAATTTTATTTCATAAATTACAGCAAAAAACCCCAAACAAGAACACAGCAGAGCATGCTTTAGGGTGTGACCAGCATGCAGTGCCCACTGGTTTCTCAGCCAAGCTCCTGATGTCTGTTTTTAATAGGGGGCATCCCATGGATGCTGTCATGCTGGCTATGTGCACGTCTTCATCTTTCTATATACAAACGAATGAATTATGCAGACTAATCTTATTAATTTAATATTTTTAAATCTATATATAAATGTCAAACATCAGGCACGAAGCATTAATCCTTCCCCTCGTTCCATCCTACCTTGTGGTGTATTTGGACTCTGAGCAGAATATTCTTGTAGCTGTGGCCGTCGTTGACCTGCAGCACCGCCCCGTCCTCTGCCCCCTCCGAGCCGTCGTGGATGTACTGAATCTGTTCCCGTGACAGCTCCTCCAGCTTGAATCGGCTGAGAGCACGGTCGCTGTGGAGACGGGTCAGCCGGCCATAGCGGGGCGGCTCAAGCACCATGACCAGAACATCGGCTGCGTTGTCAGGGTCGTCGACCTGCAGGACCGACTTGGTGATGGTTGCCAGGCTGCCACGGCCCTCCACGGTAAGAGGAGAGAAAGTCACGACGATCGGGGGCTGGGAAGGATTTTAAAAAACAGGAGGAACAGCTTTGAATATAACCTGACAGATGTGAAGGACAGAGGTAGATTTGATTTAGGAAACATACAGCTTAGATACATTTTAACACTTCTAAAGGCTGATAGCAGAGGGGGATACAGCAGTTTACCCCAAACACACTCAAATCATCACATGATGTATTTTCTCCCAGAGAACTGGGACACGGGGGCTGTGCTGACGCCAAGGGAAATGAAGAAATGAAGGTAAGGCGGAGATGAAGCTGGGCGCCTCATTAAGCTGCACTCAGCCATACCTGGAGCCTCACCACAGATGGCAAAATGCTTCATCTTGCTAACAAAGCCATTTTAGGAGCACCAGCAGGACTGGGAAGCCTCGCGTTGTAAACAAGAGCATAACTTTATCCATATTCTTCTTTACACTTTTAAAATGAACCGTTCTTCTTAAAAAAAAATAAAATCTATCTAGACTAGATGTCAAACCTCCACCTCAAAATAAAGCATATGTAAAAAAAACAACCTGCCATTGTTCTTCCTCTTTAGATGTAAGAAGTAAGGACGACTGGAGAGTGTTCACCTGATCCAACGGGGATATACACTCTTTACCACATGCACTTAAATGCTTTTCCAAACTACAGAAAGTATTACTTAAGTTTAGTGAGAAATCTACTCATAAACAGATGGTGAACAGCCTGAGATCACCCTCAGTGGACTAGCTCAGGTTCCACACGTACAACCCTGGTCTCGATATTTTTGACTGTAGAGATCTCTTCCTTCTCTTGGCTATGAGGAAATACACAACACTAGCTTTGTGCAGCTCAAAGCACTTAAAAATAGATCTGAACTGCACTCAGCAGGAATCCCAGCAGGAATCATGACTGGTTACTCAAAAACCCCACAAACCTTGTTTGGAGAGTAGGAACTATTTTCTTTCTGCTTAACCACACCCGACCCCATAACTAAGCGTCACAAGTAAGAAAAGGGCTCTTTCTTGTTAATACACGATAATTTTCTTTTATTTGTTTTCTGTGGATGAATCAATAGAACAGACTTCTTGTGTGATTGAGGGTTAGTTCCCTCTTTCTTCCATAGGAATGTTTGGGTCCAATGTGAAAGCCGATCATCTTTTGTATCCCACTTAAGATCAATCACAACTTGGTCCTGCAGGAAGTTTCTTCCTGTTAAAAGGGTGTTTTTCCTTTCCACTGTCTCCAAGTGCTTGGTCATAGGGTGCCGTCTAACTGTTGAGGTTTTCTCTGTATTACTGTAGGATGTAGAGCTGACTGTTGTTGTGAAACGTAATAAAAATGAAACTGAACTCCTCACATTTCTGTTTCCATAGGGGAAAATAAACCTAAACCTGTACTTAAAAAAGGAATCACAGATGCATGTTTTAATTTCCTGTGTTTAAGTATGTGACAAGGAAAACAACACAGCCAGGATGGTAAAATCTGGAAGCAAAACGGCTTGGCTAAAGTTCATTTTAATGCAATTTCTCCACAAAACATTTGTTAGCAGAGCAGCTTGGCAGGAACGAGGTACAGGTAGAGATGCATAGGCTGTCCCTGCGGAGATGCCAGTCTGCTGTGGCCTTAAATCAAACCGTTGTCAGGTACCGAGCTCTGAGCCGCTCAGCCTGACACAGGGCTTGTGTCCAATCCGCAGTGTTTGCCGGTGGTTGGCCGAGCTCCAGCTTTTTGGCATTACAGCAGCAACTTGAGCAAAGGGCAATGCATGAAACAAGCTGGCGCCAGAGAGAAGGATGACTTGTGGGGAAGTCATGCCCACACACTCCCTCTGTGTGTCTTTAAACCAAAGTGACCCCTGGTTGAAATTTCTAGACAGAGAACTGAAACAAAGCACAAAAACACAGGAGGCGCACGCAGTTATCTGCAGCCCCTGCAAGGGGGCCATGTGCTGACAAATTTTTAGACGTCAGAGGAGTTATCTCCAAGGGACAGACAACTTATTCCTCAGGCGCACACCTTAATCCTGTGTCGTCATTTCTGCAATTCTCACAGGGGAAACAAAAGGTTTTGTGCTGGTGGGGGCTGTGTAAGTGTGTGTGCTATTATTTTCTAATCGTGCTAAGACATGCTAACGCATGAAAGGCAACCGGTAAATCTCCTCCCTGAGGCAAACGAAAGCAAACATAGGCGCGCTGAGGTGGGAGGGCTAACCTTTCATCCTGCCCTTACAGGTGAAGTGAGGTTCGTTTTTGGCAGAGCTGTCATCACCCACGAGGCCCTTGGGGCTCTGCTGTACTTCAAGAAGATGGGAGAGGCTTTTTGTGCGGTTGTTTTTGAGTTTATTTCTCGTTTGTTCTTAATTTGTTTTGTTTTTCCTGCTGGATGGTGTTCAGGGGAACAAGCCAATTTCCACCCTGTGCCTGCCTTATCTGCAGCTTTTCTTTAGTGCTTTTGATGTGTCAAACCATCACAGCACAGACCACTGAACTGCAGTCTACCTGGACGTATGATTAAAAAATGACCGTTTCACAGATTGGCTACAGTTTTGGCTCGGTTATATTTGGTCTTTTTACTGAATTTCAACAGAAAATAAAGGCAGACGGCTTATTGGTATTGACTGACAGCTAAGCGCGCTGCACAGCAGATACTGGACTCTTAGAAAGTTTTTTCAAAAGAAGCAGCCACTCCTGTCAGAGGGGGGGAGGGAGGCTATCTGCAGCTCAGATCTTTCATTCCTGAGGCTATTACATTCGGAGGCCCTGCTGGCTGGCGATCTGATAGGGATTTCAATTAAAAATGTATTTTATTTTGCTTTTAGCTACACAGAGAAGGCTGCATAAGCAGAAATCGTCTTGTTCTCCCTGCTGTATAGTCGAGTCAGTGTGCGGCGTAGTTTGGTTTTTCCAGCTCTGTATGGGACAAAATAAAAATTATGCATGAATAATAGGTGCAAGCCTCTGGGCTGCACAAATAAAACAAATGCTTAAATTCCAAAAGCTGCAGCTCCTCTAATGACCACTGGAGGCAGAGCCCACAGTTTGGGATGTTAACATGAAATAAAAATTAAATGCAGCCAGTTTCCTCCTGCATGACATTTTTCACACAGCTCACCTGTTTAAATGTTATAAATGTGTAAAGTAAGCACGGTCAGGAGCAGGAAGGGTTTCTGGCTGAGCTTCTGCTAATCTGAGTCACTAAACTGGATCTATGGACCATGTTTGTGATGTTGGTGCTTTTTGGAGCAACATCTATCTGGTAACTGTCATGGCTTGCTGTGCATTAAATTTTACACGCTGTCCTGGAAGTCTGTGCTCCAGTCTTGACGCGTGAAATTCTCATATATTATGTCTATGCTGTACATTATGTGCGTCTGTGTGGTTTGTTCATACAATTTACGACAACAAAGCATTTGTTAAACTTGCTAACAAAGCATGCTAATGTTTGCACAATTATTTAGACGCTTGTGTTTGAATATGCTAACTTCTGTCCGATAAACACACAACCTGGTGATGCCCCTGAATGTGACTTCAAGAATCGACAGGTGGAATCACACTAAAAGATCGCACCCATGGTCTGCTCTCAGTGTTGGTCTCTAGTCTCAAGTTCTTTCAGCATTTGATGCAGAACAGCCAGAAGATGTTGCAGTATCTTTCCCCCAGCCTTTTACACTCACAATAATCCCTGACCCCCCAATTGATTCCCTGCTGCTGTGATACTTCTTTAATATCATAAGGGCAACATCCTGGTGAAGAAATAACAGCTATAGCTGTGTAATGTATGGCTATTAAGACACATGTTCATCAGATATTATCATATGTAGAATATACATTTATTTTTTAATGCTCAATACTTCTTTTGTTGCCTTGTAGTCGTACTGACATTTTCATAGTTTTATTATTGTGAGCAAACTCAAGCATTCACTGATCGGTGCATAGCTTCACTAGACAGAGTAATTGAATACAGTTACTAACCAAATAACTGTCTCGTGACTTACACTACAGTTCTTTAACACGATGAGTGCGGAGAAAAATCTAATGTGCGCTTTTATGTGTATAACAGAGCAACCATGCAGGAGTGAAAAGCATTTCTAACTTATTGCAAACAGGGATAAAAATCAAACTGTGCTCAGTCCAGAACCAAGAATAAACCGCCGAGAACATGACATCAAAGACATACCTGACAAAGCAACACACGTTCTTCTGTTTATCAACGCTATCAGCGAGAGAGCCCTGAACACAGATCACCTCTGGATCCTCCGTGCTCAAGCTGAGTGTCTGCAGACCTCAACCGACCAACTACAGCTTGATTTTTACTAATGAAGAAGATGAACGGGCCTGTAGGGTTGCACATTTCTACCTGTACTCATTCCTACACTAGAATCTGTTTATTTTTGACTGTAACATCTAAACATGTTAGTAAAAGAAAGGTCTTCAGTATATATTCTTTACTGGCATTGATATTTATCCAGATATGTTGGAGGATAAAAGTTCAGAGTTGTATTGTTAATTACACGGGCGATGTTGCAAAGCCATGCAAACGTAATGTAATGAATACTGTAACAGTAGCCTAACACTGCTTATCATTAATTAGAAAAACACACATTTTATGGCTGTAGTTTGTTCACTCAATGCAATTTGACCACTGCACTCTTTTGTCTAAATGTGGTGAGCACACAAACCAATGGATGATGAAGTCACAGTTGTTATGTCCATCTTTTAAATATAGTTTCTCGTGTGTGCATAATAACGCTCTCTCTGTGTAAAATATATTAATATTGTGATGATGAAGATAAAATGGAGAATGCATTCAGTATGCTCGCAATCAAAAAACCGTCCTGCACATCTCACCGTTTCTGCCACTGAAAGATTTCTTTCAAAGCTTGAAATGTTCTGAAACCACACTGACAGGATCTACTTTCTTTCAAAGAAAACTGTAGTGCACACAACAAAAACACTGAAAGTTACATCAGTGTATGTGAGTCGCTTTGATGTGGACTGAAAGGAGCAATCACCATGTTCCCTTCTGTCTCTCT